CCCCTCCCTTCTTCCCTTTCTTCTTCTTTCCCTCCCTCAGTTTTTTCTCCCTATTTAACCACTATTTATCCTATTTTCCACTCTGTTGATGGTGTTTTTATGTGTTGATAATAATGATGGTCATGATAGCAGTAACAGTAATAATCCTAGTAGTAAAAGCAGTCCTGGCTTCAATGAGAGACCATCCAAGGAGTTTGGAAGCCAAGTCACCATCCTGGATGAACGCTTCCTACTAGAGATGATTGTGGCCTCCAAGAAAATTATCTGGACTCGTCTGTGTGGTTTTCTTGGCCATCATCTGGAGGTGTTTGGGGACCACATCTTTCCATCCCAAGACTTATGAAATCCAGATCTTGGATTCAAGTCATGCCTGCTTGAAGTTGAGCCCAACTTCTGGCAACTTTTGTAGACAGATTCACACCTTCTTGTCATCTTCTGGGTATGATACAGTGGGGGGTAGGTTCAACTTGGGCAAAGGAAGAGGGTTGACCTCCCAGTCCAGCCGGCAGTCCTAGACCCCCCCTCTCATACCAGACACTTCTCCTTCCAAGAACTAACCAGAGTCAACCCTTCTAAGCTTCTTGGACCATGCCTGGTTGACTAGTAGATCTTCCCAGTTGACTTCACGGTTTCAGTCATTGGCATGCCATGAAAAACCCGTTGGCCAACCCTTGTTGGAAGGCCGTTGGGTCTTTCCTTTCTGCTGATCCTGGAGGGGGCAAGGACCCCCTTCATGCCAGCTTCTCCATCTAACGGCTTCCCTCTTTTGCTCTCTTTCAGTCAATGCCACCCGCATCTCCCCCAGCGCCCCCTCCCTCAGGATGTCCCAGCTCTCTTCCACCTTGAAGCGCTACGTGGACTCACCCCGCTACTCGGACACCTTGCCTTGCAGCAAAGCCTCCACCAGCTACGCCACCTACTCCTCCTACTCTTCCAAACTCTCCTCCTCTTACTCGGACAAAGAGAAACTCAGCTACAAGCCCGGCACTCCTTCCAGCTACTTGACTTCGACACACCTGCGGACGTCGGGGGCTACTGCCTCTTCTTCCTTGAACTTCGATGGGGGCGGGAGGCTGCTCCAGCGCCCGGACTCGGGCACCAGGCTGAGCCCCGGGTACAGCCGGGTCCCCGTGCGGCCCTCCGGGGGGCTGAGTGGAGGGGCCACCTACTCCTTTGCGAACGGCCCTTCGACCAGCTATGGCTCCACCCCGCTGGGACGCAAGAAATCCAGCAGCCATTCCGACCTGGCCCGGGAGCTCTCCTCCATGCACCTGTCCTCGGACCCCTACCCCTCCACCTCTACCCGCAGCCCCTTCGCCGCCCGCCCCCGGCAAGAGCTCTGTAGCATCCAAGGGTTTTACCAGCCCAGCAGGCACTCGGATTACGTCCAGGACTACTTGGAGTCCTACAGTCGCAAAGGGGGGCGTTCCCCGGGATTGCACAGCTCCACTCCAGAGGTCATCACCTCTTCCTTCCGCCCCACTAGCCATTCCTCCGTTCAGCAGTGGGAGTGGAATGACAGCCAGACCGACATCCCGAGCAAGGAGAATCCGGTAAGAGGCTCCGCAATTTGAACTGGGNAGGAGGAGGAGGAGGAGGAGGAGGACTGTAGGGTCCTTGATGGTCTCAGCTTGGGGTTTTCTTGCAGACATTTCATTATCAAACTAGATAACGTCTTCAATGCTGCACTGATAGCACTGGTGACGTTACCAAGTTAGGTCATGAAACGCCTGCAAGGAAACCACCAAGCTTACAGGCCCTCAAGGACCTCTCATTTCAACCCTGAGCTGCAAATATTCTCCTTGATTGGTCTTGCGGATGTTTCGTGACCCAACTAGGTAACACCCTCCCGGCTAGAAGAGAGGGGGATCACTGCCCTCCCCCTTCCATTTTTGCTGAACTATCTCCCTCCCGTCATCAGCTGGTCCCCCACGGTGGTGAGGGATGCTATGAGTGTGGAGGGCGACCAACTCCATCGTCCTTGTCTCGAGGGGCCAGGGCTCTGGAAGGGCAAGGAGGAAAGGAAGGGCCCTGTGTCAGAGCTCCTGGTCCCATGGCAGGAATGGGTGGATCATGCCATGTGCACCAGGCAGATGACAAATGAGGTCATGGAAGGCATGACCTTCTCCCAGCTTCTCCTGGACTCCCATGACTTGGAGTCACTTCTGATGCTAAGCTGGGCTGAGATGTAAAAGATGGCCTTGATGGCAGCCCAACACGGCACATCTGGGGGTGAGCATCATGTGTGAACCCAGCCGCACCTACATTCCACCCCACGGAATTTTGAGAGAGGAGGCTCATTTCTCCAGAGGCTGATTTCAGAGGGGTTTTCTCCTGGGGTTCCCCTCCTTCCCCAAGGAGTTTTGGGGCGTTTTGTGACGTTCCTACAAACCTCAGGACTTCCCACTCTTGGAATTACCTTCTTATTCTACATCAGGGATCGCCAAACGTGGCAACTTTAAGACTGGTGGACTTCAACTCCCAGAATTCTCCAGCCTGCATAGCTTCTCTTCCCTTCCCTTCTATTCTCCTTTTCTCTTTCCTCCCTCCCTCCCTTCCTTCTCTATCCTTCCTTCTTTCCTTCCCCTTCCCTCCCTCTCTCCTTTCCTTTTCTATCCTCCCTTCCTTTTTCCCCCTTCCCCTTCCCTCCCTCTCTCCCTTCTTTCTCTATCCTTCCTTTTCCTTCCCCCTCCCTCCCTCTCTCCCTTCCTTCTTTCCTTCCCCTTCCCTCCCTCTCTCCCTTCCTTCTCTATCCTTCCTTCTTTCCTTCCCCTTCCCTCCCTCTCTCCCTTCTCTATCCTTCCTTCTTTCCTTCCCCTCCCTTCCTCTCTCCCTTCTCTATCCTTCCTTTCCCCTCCCTCCCTCTCTCCCTTCCTTTTCTATCCTTCCTTCTTTAATTCCCCTTCCATCCATCTCTCCCTTCCTTCTATCCTTCCTTCTTTCCTTCTCCTTACCTCCCTCTCTCCCTTCCTTCTCTATCCTTCCTTTTCCTTCCCCCACCCTCCCTCTCTTCCTTCCTTCTCTATCCTTCCTTCTTCCCTTCCTCTTCCCTCCCTCTCTCCCTTCCTTCTCTATCCTTCCTTCCTTTTTCCCCCTTCCCTCTCTCCCTTCCTTCTCTATCATTCCTTCTGGCCCAGGACTGGCCCATCTTCCTACCCAACCTCCTTGCTGTCCGAATCTCCTGCCTGCTCTGCTGGGCTGGCAGGCCACAACACCAGGAGAGCTCACACTCTCTCTCCGCCCAGCCTACTTGGTGGGATTATTCTGTGGGGGAAAGTAGGAAGAGAAGAGGGCTGTGTAGGCTGCTTTCAGCTCTTTATTGAGTGATGAAGGGATGGAGGAATAGAAAGGATGGGTAAAGGACACATGGACAAAGATGGATGGTTGAGTTTCAAGAAAATAGAACAATCCCGGAGAGGACAGAGTGGAAAGAAGACTTTGAAAATGACGCATTCACCCAACCAGTGGTGGGTTCCAACCGGTTCGGCCCCGTTCAGCTGAACAGATAATGCTTTGGCGGCCTGGGTCGCTGGAACCAGCAGCAACCCAGGCCTGCCACGCCCCTGAACCGGTTCTTCGGTTATTTTTTTGCTCCTGCACATGCACAGAGCAACTTTATTGCACTAGGCATGTCTGCGCAGCGTGCATGAAGCACGCACATGGTGCAGCCACGAGGAAACCAGCAGTAGTGACTTCCGGAGCCCACCCCTGCACCCAACCCATCAGAATGAGGAGGGTCATCAGGTGCAGACCAGATTTCCAGGTTCACCCAAAGGACCAACAGGGTCTCGTCCCCTTATTGCAGCCTGGTTTGGTTTGGAAAACGAAGAAGCCAGCCAGCTTCTGAGATTCCTGAAGAATCTCCGGCTTGCAAGAGGGTGTGTGTTGCCTTCCGAAGGCCACTAGAAGGCAGCCTTTGTGCGTGGCTTGTTGTGTGCAGGAGGACCTTACAACGCTGGGGTTTGAAAGCTACCGGAGGCTCCTAAGCTGGACCCCGCGTGCCCCGGGCTATCGGGTGCCACCGCCGCGGTGACAGGATCCCCATGAGACCTGCCCTCAGTGACGGAGAGAAGCACGCGCGGCAGCAAAGGGTCAGGCGGGAAGGTGAGCTGCTCGGGATGGCATCCCGGGCAGGTGAGCTGGAGAAAGCATTTCTCCAGGTGTCACAGGTATGTTGAAAGAGGACTCCTCCTCCTCTTCCTCGGAGAACAGGCCGTTCCCAGATTTTCCGTGCAAGAATTAATTTCCCCCCCGCTGGGCCTTCTCGGGTGTGAAAGAGTTGGCGGGCAGGTAGGTGGAGTTTTTCCCTCCCGGTTTTCACTGAGGTTACGGAAGGGTAAAACGGCAGAGAAGCTGGAGGAGAAAAGGTGTGGCCACCGCACATCTGGAGCTCCGGTTAGGAAAGGAGGGCGTAAAATCCAGCTTTTTAAAAGCACAGAATCTGACGGGAATTAGGTATGTCTAGTTTAATGAAAAGGAGGACCAGGGGAGACATGATAGCAGTGCTCCGATATCTCAGGTGTTGCCACAAAGAAGAGGGAGTCAAGCTGTTCTCCAAAGCACCTGAAGGCAGAACAAGAAGCATTGGGTGGAAACTAATC